CGGAGATGGGTTTCATTTACTAGCATAATACCATCATGTTATGTATAGTAAGAAATTTGAAATTTCCACTTGTTGGTATCTGATACCGTTTGCATTATAGTAACAAATCTTTAAGAAGCTATTTGTAGCTGAGATAAAATTTATTTGACTATGAGTTTGATTAAAATTCATAGTTTAGATTTGAGAAATATTTGAAGGCCGCCATACCGACCTCTAGTTTGTCTAATATTGTTTTTGCTGTTTTTAAATTTCTGGAAGAATTCTTTAACTTGAGTGAATTGGATTTTTATCCAGTCAAAAAAGCCAACTTTGCCTGTATTCCTTATATATCACTCTCTTACACTCTCGTCATTGTGACGTACCATCGTGTCATCTGGTTACTTCCTGAAATTTGCATATGATTCTTGAAGATGTGTGTAGTGATTTTACAGGTGATATATTTATTTTAGAGTTCGATTTCCGCGTGACTCCGAATTATCTTTAATTTATGGACATGAGTGTAATTAAATGCATACCGCAGCTGTGTGTTACAAGGCATAGCTAATATAATCTTTGAAATTTTTTAAAAAGTTATTTAACATATAATCATCCTGGAATTTTAGCTCATACTGATACTAAAAAAATGACATACTATTTAATGGATATTTTTCATAAAATGGCCACTGTGTGCATGTTAGAGCATCCATCAAAAGGTGTATTTGTATTAACAGCCTGAAACTATTTTGATGTATATTATGTTGTCCCTAAATAATTTTCTTCCAAAACTGTAATATGTATGTACATAACAAAAGTAATATGAGCAAAAATATTCTATGAACATCTTAGCAGGAGAAGTGTAATTCATAAATTATGAAACTTTGAACCTTATTGGCAAGTAGTGTATACAAAGGCTAGCATTCTGCTATGTAGAGAGTGTTGCAGATCTATTGGACATCCTCAATATGATGCTGAAATTCTTAAACACAGGCAGTGGATATGTAAGAGATGTGAGAATTCATCACAAAATTTACAGTATCAAGAAAATGCTAATGCAGCTAGCTGGCTTCTGTGTACTTTTGCTATTATCTTCAATGTTTTGTAACTTATTAATTTTGAGTTTTCTAGAATATGAGCGTAGAATACTTTTTGCTCAACTTTAAATTAAATAGCAAAGTTTTTCTTGCTGAAATGAATTTCCTACCCTTGAGAAAGTCTGAAGAAAGATTCAAGCATTGCAATTTATGATTTAGAATGATGGTGTGTCCTATGGCCTCATTGAATAATAGGACCTAATGTTTTATATGTTATGTTAGTCCCCTAATGTTTTATATAACAACACTTTTTATTATATTTTTACATAACTCTCAAAAGCGTTAAAAGAAACACCATTTTACTTCTTTTGAAACCGTGCGCTATTTGAATGTAGTTAATTTTTGTAGAAATGGAATGATCTTGGGTGTCATTGGCTCAATGCAAGGAAGTACTTGCTGGCTTTCACCTGTTCTCCTTACTAACTTAGATATACTGTTAACAACTGGTTGTAGGTCATAAGAAATTTTAATTTTTTCATGGTTAGTGTATCCAAAAGTAATTTAGCATTTAGTGCTATATTTTAGTTTGTATTCATGACAGCATTTTTGTTATACATTAAAAAAAAAAAAATGTGAAGTAAAATGCATTAACGCAGTTAAATTCCAAGCAATGAAAAGGGCAGTGGGGTGGAAAGCTTATCTTATACAAGAAGTCATTATGGAGCATGCACAAGCATGCCATTTTATGACAATATTCTGAGTAGCTGTTCATATCTCAACCGTATGGTCTTGACTGCTTGCCTGTCATGTGTTTTTGGGTAATATATTTTCAAAAGATACAAAATGAATGAAAAATGATCTATGCTATATCTGCATGAAACACTATAATCGTTACTCTAAAGTGGAATGTTATATAATTTCAAGATGATTAATGATATGCAATTAAAAGTAATCTATTTTGCTGGTCTTGTTATGTTTTGAAATAAAATCGTTTTTGTTTTTTAACCAGTTATTTGTATGACACCCATCCAATAAAAAATTTACATATTTATTATGGTAATACCATTTCAACTTCCCCTCTTTACCCAGTTTTCATATGTTCACCAGAGCATTTTAATCATTGATGTACTCATTAATCTTCAAATTATATCATTAGTCTTCACATCCAAAATACAAAAATTCTGCAATGGGGACCACTTTCTGAAGAGGGACACTTTTGAATGTGACCAGTATATTTGTGAATTAACTGTACTGTAATTCCACTAGTTCATACTGAATTTCAGCCCAGACTAAGTGTTAAAAAACTATGTTCGAGAAATCTGATTTGAAATAATAGACAGAATTTTATAATTTTTGCAGTGCTTCTGAGACTTAGTAAAGCACTACTTTTTTTATTTTGTACTTAGAAACAAATATTATTCTATTAATAAATCTGTTTTCTGGAAAGCATTATACTTGGCATTACTGTACTATACAAGGGAAATTTTCTTACTTTTTACTGAAGTGTTATAGATTAGTGCAGTATCAGACCCACAGCAATCATGGTTAGGTATAGAAATCTCCTTGGAGATCCCCTTATTGAAATGATCACCATACAAAATGTTAAAACAAATATATAATTAACATTTATTTCATTAAAATTAAATAGTTAAAATGATTTGCCAAATAAAACAATCTTAAGACTAAAGAAAAAAAATAACTCATGTGTAGCAGACAAACATATATTTAAAAAAACTTATTAATTAAAAAAAAAAAAAAAAAAACTAACTTTCAGTAAATACAAAAAGCTAAAGCAGTTTTTTGCAAACTTCTAAAGTTTTTTTCATTGCTTCATCAAAAACAGTAGCTAAAGTTTTTAGCTACTGCATTCTCAATGAAAAGGATTCCCAAATCAAGTCTACCACCCAGCCAACTGCATGAGGGTAGGTGCATAGCTAGAGGGGTAGAAAACTGCTCATGTCTTATTAAATTAGAGCATCAGCACTTCTGATATAAACTTTGAAACATAAATATGGAACATTTATATGTAATCACCCACCCAGAATGTATAGTTCTTTTTTTTAATTCTTGCATATAGGTACATATATTTAAAAACTTAAAACATGATGTAGGTATTAAAGTCTTATATAGATTATTATTTTTACTTTAGCATGGAAACTTAAATTAGTTATTAATCATTGCAAGTAGTTGTAGTAGCACTAAGCAAAATGTGTAAAAATATAAAGTTCAGGAAGAAAAACACCTTAATTGGGTATAAATTTTTAATAAAACTTTATCGATTTTGAGAGCAATCAGCTACAAATCACAGTTCTTAAGAGCAAAGGAATGTTTGCAATATAGGAAGAGGGACAGCCACTTCTAACACATATATGCCATATGTTACTCTGTTATTGCAAAAATAGGTACTATTCGGTTTTGAGGGCCGTAAAAAAAATTGCATCGAAAATGTATGTGCAAAAGCACCAAATCTAGCAAACGCGCCCATTTAACAGTTTGCCAAATTTAGCATACGCGTGATTTCAGATTGCGTTAAGTTTATATAGTTCTATATTTCTTAAGACGCCATTGACATACTAGTTTAATTTTTAAATCCTTTTTTGATATCCTACGGATTTAACAATTTGGGAATTGCCCATGACAAAAAGTTGGCAATAGAATTTTGGGTAAAGTGTAGAATCACCCACTGCTTGATGCGTTTTTAAGAATTGCATATACTCGGTATCCATGTGCACATCGACCTATTTTCACTTAACAAAAATCCTAGAATTGCATAAAAATGGCACTGCGCACACTCTTGACTTTATCTATGTACACATCGACCTATTTTCAATTAAAAAGTAAAAGAAAATTTACAAAAATTCAATTGTTTTTACCCTTGTAAAAAGCGGCAAACAAATAGGTGAGTGATTCTGCACTTTACCGAGAATATCTTCAAAGAAAAGGCATAATTCATTATAGAAAATTACGTTTTAACAACCGAGATGAAATTATGCTTTAGCGATAGGTCGGTAGCAAAATAGCGATGCAGGCATTCATTCAGTTATGTTTAGCAACTTTTATATAAATTATAATAATGATCTGAAATAATTATTTACTCTTATGCTTCCATTCAGTTAAGTTTAGCCTTTTTCATATAAATTATAATAATAAAAAAGTATTATAAGATAATTAACCTTTCATCTACAATTAAAACATCAATCTTAAATGTTATTTACTATTATACTTTCCTTTCTTACTTTAGGGTTGCTGCAATTATTAGGGTTGCCGCAATCATTTTTGGCAGCATTGGCATCAACAATAGTTTGGCGATTTTTTACGGCCCTCGAAACCGAATAGTACCCAAAAATATAATTAACTGAACCTTGAAAAATTAATGTTTCTTATCATATGTGACTTAAATTTTGGTGTTCATTCACACCTATCATTTTTTCTAGTATTGTCTAAGGTAAGAGTTCTCAATCAGGGCAGAATTCCATAGTTTCAGGGGCAGGCAATGGGACCAGCTTTTTATTTAGCTCTTAAGTATTTAAAATCAATTTATGATTGTAAAAAACTATTTTTATTCAAGTTTTGGTATTTTTCAACATTTTCTATATATTTTTTTGCTTATTTCTTAAAATATAATCACACTTTAAAAAATAATCTAAATTTAAATAAATGTATTTTTCGAGTTTTGGAAGGGTGGAAATGATCGTCTAGAAATGATGAAATGAGTGCACAAGACAAAAGAGGTTGAAAACCACTAAGCAAAATAAAAGAAAGAATAGTTCTTTTGTAGTTAGATTTTAACCCTTTATTCCATTGTATATGAGGGAAACTGCAAGAGGAAATAGGACTTGTGTACACTTTTTTCTGCTGTATTGTTGAAAATATAATTATCATTTATTATTTTAATTTCAACGGTTTCTTTTCTATATGTCTATAACAATTTACATAATGTTTTTTCTTGTGTGTGTCTTATCAATATCGTAATTAGAAGTATTCTTTCAGAACGCTAATTGGAAGAGATTCAGATGTTATCTTGACGGTTTTTCATCGTAATGTGTTGGGACTTGACGAGTTTCTTGGTCAGACTGCAATATCGCTACGAGGAATTGAATCATTCGATCGACCTTTCACGAAGTAATTTTTTTTCTGATATTTATTTTTTGTGTCCTGCCATTTTTTCCCCTCCTTAACTCCTAATGACCTTTGTATTAATTAAATTACTCCTTCCAGTAATTAAAAATGTGTTGATTTGAGCAATTACATTTATTATTAGACTGTTTTAACTGCATGGATATGTTTCCTTATTTACTGAAATATATAAATATGAGCTATTTTCCTTGAAATCTTTCATGAAAGCATTTCTTTTTAGGTATAATACAGTAGAATGCTTTTTTCTAAATTAATAACCTAACATAGGTTTATTTAACAAAAACACAAAATACAGCTATTTTAGTATTCCCTTAAAACATATGCAGAATTCCAAACCTTTTGTGTGAAATTTTGGAATTTCTAAATTAGTAATAAGTTTATTTAGTTCTCGAAAACCTGAAGATTCTAAAAAAATTACTTGGTTAAAAGCATATTGTTTTAATAAAGTGAAAAATGAATCACAAGAAAACATGTAAAATGAGAGTAGAAAATAGTGGGTTTCTTTTATATTGAACCTTTTATTATATATATATACAAAAATAGTACAGATGTTGCAGTTATTAGGTAAGTTTTTTTTTTTAATTTTTTTTAATAGCTTTTCAGTACACATTCACCTGCTGAACAAATTTTGTGTTTGAACAGAAAAAATTTCAGAAAAGCTCTGCTTGTTTAGCATTGACATGAATTTTATGAGAAATTTTGCATTTATTGCATTTCTGAATTCAAAGTTATTTGTTTCAATGTTAACATATATATATATTTAATAATTTTGATGCATAGAAGAAAACACTGGAAGTTTTAACAGCTTTCGATGTCCATCATAGCTAGTGGTTAAGGCATACAGATGAAAGCACCAAAACTGAATTTCGACAAATCACCTATCTTTATTTTCACATATATCCAATTAATTTGGCAGACTCTTATTCAATCTGCCACGTAGCACAAAAGCCCAGTAAAAAAAAAGTCAAATGGCTTCCTGTTGGTGTATTCCATGATGTGGGGAAGGGTGTACTCCAGCTGCGCAAATGAAAATCCCTCCCCTCGTCATGGTATAGTCCAACTGCGCGAAACAAAAATCCCCCCGTCGCCTACAGGGTTTCAATTTTACTTTTCGAAGCTATTTGTAGCCAAGGGGAAAATAAAAATACAGAAATAGAATTATATAAATCACAAGAACAAGTAAAGAATATTTACAAGCAGGCTAATTACTTGAATAACAGTAATAAATATGAGAGCTAACAAAGAAAATAAAAGGTATTAGTAAACATGCATACAGTACAAAGTCTTTAATCTGGACTCGTCGGAACTTCGCCGATTCCGGATTTAGGGGTTTCTCTGGATTATAGATCATCAATTTAAATCTGGTAAGTTGGTATGCAGAAATTATAAAATTAAAAATATGAAACCGTAATTTATGAAATAAAGAGCAATTATAATCTAAAGGGTACCAAAATTTACAAAAAGAAAAGCTTAATTTTATTTGCTTACTTTATTAAACATTTCTTTTAATGTAAGTTGTTTAAGTTGCTTCATTTTATATGCTAATACTCTCCTATAAACAGACATAATTTCTTGTTCATTTACAAAGTTCCGCTGTTCAAGTCCTGTAAATGCTGTGCCAAGAATACCGACTAACTTGTGACTTGTGAATCAGAATTTTTTCGTTTTCACTAACCTCTCTGTCACTTTCTTCATACCTTTATCCATTTTTTGCAGCAATTCCACTTTTTTGTTTGATGGACATCGAAACATGCTTTCGCTTTGTAGATCCTTTAGCAGCTCCAGAATCAGAAACTCTTTTTGACATAATTGAAAGTTTAAGCTTACTTTATATAAAATTGCTCTAACATTCTGCAAAAAATAATAAGCCATATTCAATTAGAAGATTAAGAAACAACACAATCTGCAGCATTAACTGAAATAGATAATTAGATAATTTTAGCCTAGCTTATACTGTCCATTATACATTAAATGCACATGTGTAAACGCATATGCGCATGCATAAAGGTATTATGGGCATGCGCAGAAAGTTTGTAGCTTTGAGGTCCAGATTATAGATCATTCCGGATTATGGCCATCCGGATTAAAAACTTTGTACTGTATTAGCATTAAAAACATCTTTCATTAATTACAATATTACAGCAAGGAATATTATAATAATATCATAAATTAAATAATTATAAAGCATACCAGTTGTATTTTTATAAATGAGATCAATAATAGTTGTGATGTCTGAACTAGATTGGAAAATTTAGTATTGCTCACTGGCATGCAAAAGACTATTCCATATCAAAGTGTGCTAGAAATATTTTTTGTTAATTAAAGTAATCATGTAAATGTTTGCAGAAATTAATAGTTAAATTTAAAAAAAGCTTAGCATGAAATCTATTACAACAATATTAGTATATATGTGTTTGGAACTCTGACGTATAAATTATAAATAAATTTTAATTATTATGATAACACATATGAAACTTGAATGCAGTGCAACAATATGTGAAAAAGGAATGGATTACGAGGGAACTGAAAATCCCAAGATATGAATATAAGGGAGTTCAATTTTTTTGGTAATTATAAAAATTCTGCAGATGCTCATAATTATCAATTTATTAATTAAATGTGCATTAAAAATAAAATGTATGCCAAAGTACGTCAGGTAGAGTAAATGGAAAACAAAATAAATAAATTTTTCTAGTATTAAAATATGGAATTTGTAAGAAAGTTAAGTAAACTTAAAATAACCATAAATAATAAACCATAAATATTTAAATAACTTCAATGACTAAAAATGGAAAGCTTAATGAAGCAATATATTGCAATAATATTAGTGTGAATTTAGAACCACTTAAAAAATCCAGTTTTTAGATTTAATAAAGAGAATTGTTTAAATTAAATTAGAACTGTTTACCTAAAATGGTAAATTTGATATTTAAAACCATTCTGCTGTCTAAGATGATTTGTTAATATTTATTTAGACAAGAAACTTATTTAAGGTGTGCTACAAATCCGATATTTGATAGGTTGATTATGTATCAGTTTTGTGTATGTCATTAATCTATCAATTTTATTATTCAAATCTACAACTTGGAAAGTTTTTAATTCTTACAGAGAATAAAAAAGATCTGGCTCATCATTCTTTTAATCATCATAAAACTTTAAAATTAGTGTAAAAGAAATTCATTTTTACTTTAGCACATGCCAGACTTTAAATTAATATTTGTTTTGTATGCACAATTTTTATAATATTGATAAAAAAAATAGAGGCTTGCAGTCTCAATAAAATGTCCCATTAATGGTGATAAATGATTTTTGTAGCGCCCAATCTTTTTGGTAAAGAAAGAGGGGACAGAAAACGTCATGCAGTTTGTGGCTTAGATAAAGGGGATCTTTGATCAAATTTCATGCAGTTCGTGCCCTACCGTGGGGAAGGGTAGAAAGGAGGAATAGAAATGACCTTCAGAGGTCTCAGCTTCGATATGCGAAAAATGTGCATTAAAAACAGAATTTTTCATAAATTTTGCGCATATGCGCTTGCTGGAAGGTTTAAAAATATTTGCATGGGAATACTGCATGGTTTGGTTTGTTTTATGTGATTATGGGAAAGCTTCAAGGGCTGCCTGTATAAGGGGAGCAATGCCTTTGTGGAGGATTTTCTAAGGGAAAATGACTTGTATACACGTTATACATGGGAAAAGCCTGTTTGCAGGATTTGAACCTCGGGTTGAACTACCAGTGTTCAGCAACTTTACTGTTCGGCTGCTGATGGGCCAATACTTATTCTTTTTGGCATTAGTTTTTTATACAAATATTACAGCTAGTTGTTATATTGCTAAACAAAATGCCCGCTTGAAGCTTTCCTGTGTATTTATGCATTTAAGTTTACATCAGATATATTTTAAATGTATCAACCTTGTTTTGAAAATATTTTTAATTTCAATAGGTGGTATCCACTGAAAGGTAAATCAGGAAGAAGTGATGACAAACAGAGGGGAGACTTAGAAGTTCGTATCGCATTTATTGTGCGCCGCTGTAGTGATACTCAGAGTTTAAATGATTTGAGCTTCAAGAAAAGAAGGAATTCTATAAAAAATTTAGCAGTCAGCTTTGGTGAGTATGAAATCTCATTTTAAAATTTCTTGTAGTTCTTGGCATAATGATTTTGAGTTGTTTTTACATTTTTCTCATGGGTACTTATATACTTTGTCATTGACCAGAAAGTTGGCAGAGATTCTACCAAACTTGCACAAAACATTCTGGTGGTAATTTGGAAAAAAAAAAAAAAAATTGCTCTTTATTTAATTAAAATATGAACAGATACAAATTATGGCTATAGCATATAAAAACTGAAGTAAATAGACATCATATCTTATAATTATTTGCCTGTTTTTATCATATCATACCCATGATTGCACCTTTTTTTAAAAGTCAAGTTTCTATAACTGAAAATACTCCATTTCCTACTGTCTTTTGTAAGAAACAGGTTAAAATTAATTTTTTAGTGCAAGGGGGAAAAAATAGAAATAGTTGACTTGAAAATGCTTCTGAGGGGAAAAAATAGAAATAGTTAACTTGAAAATGCTTCTTAATAACAATTAAACTGGCTTTTTGATGATTAATTGGGATTATGTAAAACTGAGATCAAGGTCTTATGAGTGTTGCAAGACATCCTGTTTACCCCCGATATTGTGCTAAATCGCACTATTTGGCAAGTTTTTTTTTTTTTTTTTTTTTTTTTTTTTTTTTTTTGTTGTTGTTGTTAAAAAGCGACCTGATAAAAGATATTAAAACTTTTTTCCACAAATTAAAAAAATGTGTTTAAAGTTTCTTGCAGTTTAAAACTTTCAGGATGAAAGATGCAAATGTGCATATATACCGCAGAGGTTGGGGTTGTTTCTTTCGTGAACATCTCTTCAGGGCTAGAAGGTTTTTGTCTACTAAGTCCATGAAATTATGGAAAGATGAATGCATTATTTAATCATGTTTTGTAGAGTATATATGCAGTATGTTATATATTTTTTATTTATAAACTTAATATACTTAAGTTTTTTTTAATATTTTTATTTTGCACATTAAGTTTTTTTTCCAATTTTTACTACTCTGTTAAAAACTTTTGACATTATATACAATTGACCTTCCCCAGAAAATTTACTTAAAATTCAATTTTAGCATGATAAAAAGTAGGGATTTGCACACAGCCCTATGTTTTACAGTCCTTGCATTTATAATAGCTGATTTGTCTTTTTGGAGGACTTTTGTGGGAGTGTGAACAAATTAAACATTGCCATTCCAGATGTAACCAACAAGTTACAGATATAACATGATTTAGATTTCCATAATTTGTTAAAATTTATGACACATTAGCATTATAACACTCAAAAGAAACACGTTTCCTGTACACAAGATATAATTTGTGATTAGAAACTAGATTGCAAACCCAAATTCTAAATTCTCTAGCAAGCAAAAAAGGAAAACAATTTCCTAAAATATTTATGAATAAATATCACATGTGCATCTAAAGAAACAATGCTCTAGCCTAAAAAAAAAATTCTCATAACATTCATTAATGTACACCATATATGCATGGAAGCCTGCGAGTGGAGAACATGCTTTTTCCTTCATATTTATATAATCAAAGTCCAAGCACATGATAATCATCTTTCTCTCATTTCAAGTATAAGTTACATGTAGGAGATCAAATCTATATGTATCTCAAATCCAATAGATATATAATATCATCTTGTGCCCAAAATATTAGTTTTTAAAACATTCCAAAACTCTGACCGAATGCATGACCGGCAAGTGTGAATGAGAACATGCTGTGTATTGGTGTGCCAACAGGGAAGGGAGTGTAGTTCTTACTGGCATGTTTGGAGGAACGTCAGTATGAAAAAGGTTAAAGTAATATTCACAGCTTCGTACTTTATGGCTTAGTGCAAATGCTATAGTAGAAGAGTCAACAAATTTTGATAGTGCACCAAACTCTGGCAAACATGTGCATAACAGTTTTTCAATTTTAACAGAAAAGGTTACTATTTTCCTAAGTTTTCTTTTGGCTGTATCCTAATTTAAAAAGTTTTTATAGACAAATTGTGACATACTTTGTCTTAAACATAATTTTAAAATATGTGAGTAAGGGGTGCACTTGTAATAAAGCACAGCAAATGTTTTATTGGAATACAATAATTTATTATAAAATTACTAAAGAGAACATTTAGTTGAATCTATTCTTAAAAGTGATTGCCACAAAATTTTCTCTAGGTTCATTCATTTTCTTCGGTAAATAATTTCTCAAACAGGCCAAAGTCGTCACACTATTATGTAAGTATCCATAAGTTCTTAATTTCCACTGTAAATAGAGGAATTTTTTAACTTTTCACCATCTCAAATTTTCTTTAATAATGCTTTGAGCAGCACAGAAAATAAAAGAAATTAGAAAATATTCCTACAAGAAGGTGAAAAAAAAACTTTTATAGTTGTTTGAAAAGGTATCAGAAATTTGTAAAACTAATACTGCATTTCCTCGTGAATGTTTCTCGATTTCCTGATTTTCTCGTTCAGAAATCAAGGGGGGGGGAATTATATAATTTAATTTCCAAAGAATACAGTCATGCTAAAGATAACAAATATTAAATAGTCATGGATAATTATCCATGACTGTTGATTATCACAATATTATTTCTTTAAAAGAAACCTACATTCCAATGAGAAAACAATAGTAATATAGCGTAATTCCAACAGTAATATTAGCATAACATTATCTGATGGATATTGAGGCCATACCTGATAGTAACTGAACCAGAAATACAACATGCTCAGTTCAGTTACCTTATAGAGCCCCAGAGGGACCTCACATGAATGAATTTTGATGACAGTTTTCAGAGGAATATTTTAGGAAGAAAGGAGAAGGAAAGAACAAAAGACCCAAATTTAGTGAGATTGAATACTTCAGCAGCAGATAAAACCTGGAATATAAGTAATAGAAGTAAGGTGAAATCACATGCTTCAAAAGTTTCTAATGTGTGAAAATGCCTGCCTCATCTGGTAGCTGATTGAAGAATCTGGACAAAATAATTCCAAGAGGAAACAAAATGAAGGAAATGCCAGTGGAAATACCAATGGAATACACTGAATAAAAATTAAAATTATGAAGGAAATACAATTTGTTAATAACTAGCCCACAAAGAGAAATCTATGTACAATAGAGGAAGGAGAAAATTATGCAAATATTTTTTTTAATTTTCTAAACCTGGCTCTAAAAAGCTAGGAGAAAAAATGTGATAGGAAATACAATATTTTGTACACTGCTGCATTAAACCCATATCTGAAATAAAAACAGTGGAATAAATTCAAATGAAGTTCATTACTAAATGTAATAACTGAATTTTTTAATGCTAAGTTGGCTGAAAGATACTCAATCTTCTGACCACCCAGCACCATTTCTGTATATTGTTTCCAACCCTGTCACTAAGCTTTTATGGATCATTCTCTTTCAAGCTAGTTTCGATTTTCCTCTTAAGAAGTCAGCATTTTCCAGTTGAAAATCTGTGCTACTGTCATGTTTGAATACTTATGACTGTTGTTCTTAATATGCACCCTAGCTAAGTATAAACATCTGCAGATTTTGCTTTTGTGTCTGCACATAATTTGACATGGAAATATTATGTGGCCAAAAAATCTGTTACATCATATACAGTAATTTTGTCTGTTGAGAATTTGGTAGGTTTCCTTGGACTTTTATTAATTTCAGGCTTATGATCCTATAATGAAACTGATTTTGCAATTAGATACGTAAAAATTCTAATTTTGATATTGGTACTCGTGTATTATTGCAAACACCTTAGTAGAAATCGCCAAATTTTCAGCATGTGCTGAACTTTGATAACCATGCAAATAAATATTCTTCAGGTAACCATGCTCATAACAGAGCAATGTCATCATTTCATATGCATTCTTTTTGTTGCGTTCCACGCTCCAATGGTTTTTATAAGCAAATCTTGGATGTTTTTTGCTTTCAACTCAATATTAATACATTGCTTGTCAAATTTTTCAGCAGCAAAAAGAAATTTGTTAAAAATTCTGCCAGAATATATTATTTTACCAGAGGTTCAGGTTGTAGTGCAGCAGACACCCATTGTTTAACCATTGGTAATGTGGGTATTGCCCAACTGCACTATCTCTTTATTTGAACGTTATAAATTTTTTGAAGAATTTTGACATATTCACATTATTTTACATATGTACATGATTACAGTATAGTTGTGACATATGGTGCCTTTCATACACACGAATACATAATGGTAAATATAGAACATAATGGTAAATACAGAACATAAAGGCAAATATATAACATAAAGGTAAATATATAACATATTGATACATAATGACATACATATAACAATACATTTATGAACGTGTATATATATATATATATTGCATGATTATATACATAAATGCAAAGAGCACTTTTTTTTTTGCCTGTATATGTAAGAGAGTATATACTGAGTACATGCAGAAATTATTTTGTATACGATTTCCCCCCCCCAGAATATGTTAGACTCCTTTGTTTTGTTGGATGCAAAGAGGTGTTGTATGGTCCTCTAGTCTTTTTGTCAATTCTAGTTCGTTTTGTCAATTCTAATTTAATCAGGAAGTTTCAAGTGATAGCTTTTTGTTAATTAACATTTGAAGATGTAATGGTTAGGGTCACCCCTTTCCCCACATATACATTGCTCAGAAGGAGCTATGTTTCGTTCGTAAAAATACTTGGTAAAGGGGCCATGTCCTGTCATAAACCAATTGATTAAGTGATTTGTACTAAGTCTGTCCGTAATGATATGAGGTTTGAGTTGGAAAAGTCTTCTCCCCTTATCGCTATATTTCCATTCTTCTTCCCATACTTGTTCCCGTAAGCATTTAAATTGGTGTTTTAGCTGAGATTTGGGCCAAGAGGGATTTTTTAATTCTGTGTCAGTGTCAGTAATAGCAGATTTTACCGCTTCATCTGCTTCTTCATTTCCAGAAATACCCACATGGGATTTTACCCATGAAATAGTAGCATGTATATCAGGATTTGAGATGGAGATATCATAGATATCTTAAATGATCGGAGAATTATGTTTAGTATTTTTCATAGCTAGAATTGTGGATAGACTATCTGTGTATATTTGAATTTTTTC